AGTGAGTATTAGTATACCACTCATATTCAGCTCTCACAGCGACAGATTACCTGGTTGAGCTGGTCCGCTCTCCGTCATTAGGGCTCCCTTGCTCTCTCCACTGCTGCCGCCGGACGCAGGGTGCTTGTCTCCGTCGTCGTCGCGCATTCTCTTCGCCCGCGCTGCTTGCTGCCGTGTCGTCTTCCGATTTCCGCCCGTTTACGAGAATGAAGGGCTTCAAAAGTTCGTACTTAAAAAAGAACAAACAGTAATTACTACCGGTTTTTCACCGGTTTATTTACTTTAATTAAAAATTTGTGTCACTTTCAACTTCAAATTTCGCGATAAGCAAAGCGACGTTAACTTCGGTTATTGCGACGTTATGAACATTAACCCTGCGACGATTAACGTCACTTCGTACTGGTTGCACGAAATTCCGTGGTTGCAGGAAATGCATGGAATCCGGTACTTGGTCGACCGATTGTGAATCACCATCGCTGATAAGGAATCACATCTTAGGCAGAGTACAGAAAGTGATCTTCACGGTCCCACGAGTATCCACGAGTGCTGCATTATATGTGGATCGTCTTGATAAGAGCTTACATTTGCTAAATGAGCGACTCTACTCGGTGGTACCTTGAGCCGTATATCGCCGAGGTACGGCTCAAGTTCTTATGAGTCAAGGACACAGATGGTATGCAGTCAAACATTTTGGACACCCAGTCAATTAGAAAGCAATTGGTTTAACAGAAAGCTTAGGATATGCTTACCGTTAAAGGAACTGCCTAAGATCGTAGATATCGCGCTCTCGAGAGCAACGTCCTTACCATTAATGCAGCGGCAACAGGATGTCTGCCCGACATCAACTCAAGATGTTCTAGGTACTAACTTGGATGACCACATCCGAATTGGACGAGCAAGACAGCAATGAAGTTCACACTCCCAGAAGATACGATCCCCAACGTGAAGCTATCTAAGACACTTCGAGCTGCGTTGGTTCGCGAAGCAGAGACTGTTGTACGCGAAACAATCCATGCGAATGAAGCTTTCCTTGAAAATGGCTCTCGCTTTCCTACTTCCGACTGGCGATTCGTGCGAGCAAAGCAAGGATTGAACGTGTATTGCCAGCGATCAGGGCCAACTGGAAGCTCTTACTCGCGGAAAACTGGGCTGGTTTCTCCCATTTCTCCCACTATACCAGCGCGAACGCCATCGTTGTCGTTATCTCACCCGATTGCAACTGAGAAGTCGAAGCGAAGAGGGAAATCCCTCATGGTTCTGCATGGGGCTATCGATGGAAATCTCGACGACTGTATGTTCGGCTCGCTTGCCACTACTGAGGAGACGTGGAGATGGAGAAGTTCGTACGTTTACGAGGGACTTGACGAGGCTCGGCTTCTTTGTACCCTCAAAGGACCGACTGCCGAAGACCCTTTTCGTTTCCTGGGTCTCAAATGGTTCACTAAGGAACTCCCTTCTGTACTGTCGGGTATTATGCAACAGCGAGATTTCCTGATCATCGAGGCTACGGGACTCACGCTCGACTCAAACGGAGAGAGAGTTGGCTACTTTTTAATGCACTCTGTCTCCCTCCCTGGAATTGTCCCCGAATTTCCTCAATTAGGCTTAATGAGGGAAGAGATCAGTGCGTGCTACATCGATCGACAACTCGGCGCGAATCAAGTGGAAATGTACTGCCGCAGCTTCCTGAATCCACGCGGAAAGCCACTTAACCGCCTGACTGCAGTTATCGCCGCTGAAGCTCTTCTAAGTGCGATTAGTATCATCGACTATGCGTACATCAGGAAACTCACGTGGCTGGTTAAGAACAACCAGGAGCGAATGTCAGCGAGACGCTGTCGAACTCGGCGTCAAAGTGGCGCTTTCCCTCGCTCCAGGCGCTGTCAGATGTGCGATAAAAGCTTCAGCAGACTCGCGCTGAATGTAGGCGCCGAGTGCCAGATCTGTCGTGGATTGGTCTGTAAAAACTGCTACGTTGTGAAGAAAATGACGGTGGATTTTTCGACAAGAGGGGCTGTTAAACAGTGCGCTGTACGCGTTTGTGTGTGCTGTCTTCTCGAAGCGAAGGAGAAGTCTGTTTGGGAGATGGCACTGGATGGTGTCAGTGAAACGCGATCAGAAGCTTCGTCCAGTGTGGCCTCGGGCCAAAGGAGATACACGTTTTCAAGGCTTGAATAAGGTCAGTTGTTCCTAATTTTCCCTGCAATTCATACCTATACCTTTCTTTAAAACAATAGATCTATCAGTGTTCGTACGCTGTCAAATATTTTGTCGTTTCGACTCGCGCTGCATAATATCCTCTCTTCGTGCGGTACGATTGCGGTCACCAAAGAAATCCACGAGTTACCGTGGCCTCGTTGAGATGCGAGCACGAATCACGTCGCGATCTTGCTTTATTCAAGCACGCTAGCTTGCTTGCAGGGGTACCGTCTCCTTCAGAGCTGTGGTAGATCCTCCGGCTTTGTTTCTGACGAGTTCTTTGCAATTCAGGACGCTGTCGGTAAGTAGTCCTGTCGTGGTGGTCTCGAGCAACGAAATTACGTTAGCTACCCACAGTCCCGCGTTGCATCATCGGTGCTGAGTCAGCATGGATGGCGGTACTTGCCTGCATCAACACAAGAATAAGTAGCTTTTTCGATGCTGTTCTATTATAGTATCTTTTGGGCGAATCTGCTGTGTACAGCAAGCAGTCTATCGGATATCAATGCGCAATTGCAGTAAAAGAAGCCATGGAATGGCAATTGCACATGTACACGACTGTACTTGATGCTGCTGCTCTTCCAAGTGGGCAATCTAAGATCGACGGTAACTCTGGATCGTCTGCACTTGCACCACACCGAATGCTTCACGCGGCCCGACGAAAGTCACCGCGATTTGTGAAATTCAACGTAGCACATGTGTTTTTTTTTTTTTTTAAACCAAGACGCTGTCACATTTGTTGAAATCCTGCCTGATGCTACCAAAACGCTAAAGAAAACATGCTGGTTTGAGGGCGATCCTCTTCAGAAATTTATTGAATCTTCCGTCTTGTTGGGCAACCACGAAAGTGAAGGCATCGTGTATCGCTGACTGATACGGTGTGAGCAACCATCGCAAAGGTCCCTGGAAGGTGTAACTTACGTCCTGCAAACCATTTGATTCTGCATCAACTGGTATTTCAGAAGCCACCATTGGCCTCGACGGTCAACTTGATCATCTGGTGGGGCCCCCGAACGGCTCTTTGCTCAAGTCGCATCCTCAAGACATCCAAGTGCTTTGCACCTGCTGTTGGGCACAACCAGCGACCACCTGAAAGGGGTCACAAACACTTTTGCCTTCCACGCCACAGGCGCAACTATGAAGTTCACGTTGCCTGAAAACGCCTTCCCGGAGTTGATTCTATCAACGGAACAGCAGCAAGAATTGATCGACGAAGCTGAGACGGTGGTGCGTGATACTCTGGCAGCAAACGAAGCCTTCCGCGCTGATGGAGCCACATTCAAAGACCCGCGCTGGAAATTGGTCCGCGCAAAAGACGGACTAAATGTGTATCACCACCAACTGGCGAGACCAAAAAGCTCTCGGAAGTTCAGAAGACCACGCTTCAAGAGCTCCTTCTCGCCCGTAATCCTGACCGAATCGCACGTGACGGATCCCACAGGGGCCAGTACGTGCGATGTCGAACTATCCTCGTCAGAATCGGGAGAGGAAATGCGTCGTCCTGCAGGGTTTCAGATGATTCTTCACGGAACCGTGGACGGCAAGTTGGATGACGCGATGTTTGGGACCTTTGCAGCCACGAACCAGGCCTGGATGTGGCGTAGTTCCCATATCAACGACCGTCTGGACGACGCACGCGTGCTAGCAACTATTAGAGGACCCACAAAAGAAGACCCATTTCGGTTTTTGGGCGTCAAATGGTTCGTCAAAGAGCGTCCTGCTGTGCTTACGGGTCTGGTTCAACAGCGAGACTACCTCATCCTCGAAGCTACGGGGCTTACGGTGGACTCTAAAGGCGAGAAAGTGGGCTATTACCTCATGCATTCCATCAGACTGCCTCGAATGGTACCGGAATTAAACGAATTGGGTCTTCTACGAGGAGATTTGAGTCTTTGTTTCATCGATCGCCAACGCGGCAAAAATAAAGTGGAAAAGTATTGCCGCAGTTTCAGCGACCCTCGAGGTAAAATCATCGATCGTGTGGCTGTTGCAGTCACAGCCGAGTCCCTGATCTGTGCTGCTAGTATCGTCGACTACGCGTATATCAAAAAATTGACGTGGCTGATGAAGCACAAGGGCGACCAAAGTGCATCAAATGAACACCACTTTCGACGGGATGCTGGACCGCGACCCAAATGTTGCGAAAGCTGCGGCAAAAGTTTCGCCAAATTTTCGCTTTCGAGCGCTGGAACGGGAGCAGATTGCCAGATATGTCGACGCGTAGTTTGCAGTAAATGCAGCGTCGTTAAGAAGATGACCGTGGACGTATCCGATACTGGAGCTGTGAAGCAGTGCGCATTACGGTTCTGTCTTGAGTGTCTGCATGAAGCCAGGGAGAAGTGTGTGTGGGAAATGGCTCTAACTGGAGTTGACACCGCTTCGGAGACTTCGTCGGCGTCGGGTTCAGCGAGATCAGGGCCACACAGATAAAAGCGAGTAAAGTGAACGGGTTTAATCATAAAAGCATTAAAAATTGTTTTAAAAAATTTAAAAAAATGCAACAACAGTGTTTTAAACAGGTTTACGCATCGAAACCACTATTTCGGTCACCAAAGTAGCTTATTGAGGAACACGAGCTGATCCTGAAGTTGAGGAGCATTCCGATGAGGTTTCAACGCCACTCAGCGCCATTTCCCAAACCGATTTCTCCTTAGCTTCAAGCAGACAGGTTAGACAAAACCGAAGCGCACACTGCTTGACTGTTCCGGCACTTGATACATCCACAGTCATCTTTTTCACCACACTACATTTACCGCATACCACAAGACAGCAGATCTGGCACGGAGCTCCAGCTCCAACACCAGTGAACGAGAACTTGGTGAAGCTCTTTTCGCACGTCTCGCAGCGAGTAGGTCGCTTCTCCTCGACCTTACGACCGCCCTTGTGCTTCATCAACCACGTCAGTTTCTTGATGTACGCGTAGTCGACAACACCAGCAGCGCAGATCAGCGCCTCAGAGGCGATTCCTACTGATACTCGGTCAAGCATTTCACCTCGAGGATCACTGAATCCGCGACAGAACAGCTCTACTTTACCAGGTCCGCCCTGTCGATCAATGTAACAAAGACTCACTTGTCCACGGATGATCCCCATTTCGGGAAGTTCCGGAACACCAGGTAACGAGACGGAGTGCATGAGGTAGTAGCCAACGGTGTCTCCTTTGGAGTCACGCGTAAGGCCTGTAGCCTCCATGACGAGGAAATCTCGCTGCTGTACGATACCCGAAAGAACCGCAGGGTTTTCCTTAGCGAACCATTTGATACCTAAGAACCGGAACGGATCTTTACGAGTGGGTCCTCGGATGGTGGCAAGGATCCGAGCATCATCAAGTCGGTCATTGAGATGCGAACTACGCCACATCCAGGCTTGATCTGTAGACGCAAAGGTACCGAACATACAGTCGGCTAGGTTACCGTCGACGGTACCGTGCATAACCATCAGGGATACACCTGGACGTCTCATGGTGTCTTGGATTGTATTCCCTGTAGAGCCCGATGTTTCTCCTTCGGTGCTTGTCTCCCAGTGCATGTTACTTGCAGCGCGACCTCGAAGCTTGAAAGACCATGATGAGCTTTGAGGTGATGATGGACGTCGCACTTCAGTCGAGACTCTCTTGCTCCCAATCGATCGACGTTGGCGATACACACTCAGTCCTTCTTTCGCGCGTACCAATCTCCACTTTGGGCCACGGAATGTAGCGCCTTCGGTGATGAATTCTTCGTTCGCTGCTAGAGTCTCGCGCACTACGGTCTCGGCTTCGTCGATCAAGGATTCTTGTTTTTCTTTGGATAGATTGAGAGCTGGAAACGTGTCTTCCGGTAACGTGAACTTCATCGTTTCCTTGTTGAAAGCGAATAGAATTGTGAATTAACTGACAACCATCCATGGCTCTGACTTCAAAGCTTTTATTTATCTAGGGGTTGAAGGATTTATAGGATTCATTCGGTACAAGTAACGCGGTTTTGGTCGCCAAGAGTAGAATTACGTGACGTAAATCAGGCACAACGTTCACCAGCGGTGTTAAACAGCGTTGCCTTGTTTGTAGCCTTAGCGTCTATCCAAACGTCGCTGTCACATTGTACAGGTATTGAGCTAGCACTTTGCTATCATTGGAGCAACTTGCTAAGCAAGTGGTTTCCGCGAAAACCACAAACGCTCTGGGGGCTTTTGCTTGGCGAAATGATGTGTCCTCGTGAAAGAGAATGTTATTGGTCTTCGGATACTGAACGGCGAAATGTTATAATTGTTTTGGCGACGTCTTCACAGAATGGCGAGTTTTTGTGTAGCCCAAACAATGCCGAAGATACTGTTAAATCTGGTCGAAGCAACGGAGGCCTGCATTAGTGCAAGAAGTTACATTATAAGATACCGTGACAATAGCACCCGTGAGCGTAACTAGGACAGCACCAGTATACAGCCTCCTTCAGGCCTACCTGAAGCGGCAACACCAACCAAGAAGTGCGACAGAACAGACAAGTCGCGTGTTATATGCTTCCAAAAGGCATCTATAGCGAAAAGACAAATATCAAATAGAACTAACTAACCCGTGAGCGTATCTTGAAAGTACATTGAAGTGAGAGAATTCAATGTCATTATTTTAATATGGATAAGAGCTTTATACGTAAAGGTAAAACTTCTAAGCATTCTAATCTTTGCACCAGCTAAATCAACGTGTGGAATCTCTTATCGCTTTGCTTGGGTCTTTCTGAACAGCGCCCCCGCGAATGTACGTGGCCATATGAAGGTGACGGATCTCGATACATGTGCCTTTCACATGCATCAGACTCGACGTGGGTAGCCCTACCACCGCGAAAACTCTGATACATGCCGTTCATACGTGAATTTCCCTTTTTCACAGAGCCTCTTGAGTCCGGTTTCATTCTGAAATATGTAGCTATTTCTCCCTGTCGATAAACGCGAGTGCCAACACGTTGATATTCGGAGTAAGATCGACCATCGCATCTGTGCTGCACTCTACCAGGCGTCCCAACAGCCTCAGGTGTGGTGGCTTCAAAGCAATTTTGTGCTATTTCCCAGGCCGATTTCTCCTTGGCTTCAAGCAAACAGGCCAAGCAGAACCGAAGCGAGCACTGCTTGACAGCCCCAGTGTCGGAGACATCCACCGTCATCTTCTTAACGACACTACATTTCGTACATATCACACGCTGACAGATCTGACACGCAGAACCTTTCCCAGTTCGCGGGAGGAGCGTAAATTTGGTGAGATTTTTGTTGCAGGACTCACAATGGGTTGGTCGAGTTTCACGTGCTGAATCACCCAAATTTTGGGCATTTTTGTGTTTCATCAACCACCTGAGTTTCTTGATGTACGCATAGTCAACCACTCCAGCGGCGCATATAAGCGCTTCAGAGGCAATAGCAACGGACACTCGCTCCATCATCTCTCCACGAGGATCGCTGAATCCACGACAATACAGTTCCACTTTGCCAGGTCCATTTTGACGCAAAATAAAGCAGAAACTCAATTCTCCCCGAAGAATACCCAATTCCGACAATTTTGGAACACCACGTATTGCCACAGAATGCATCAGAAAATACCCGATTTTCTCGCCGTTAGCATCAGTTGTCAGCCCGGTTGCCTCCATAATGAGGAAATCTCGACGTTGAAGTATTCCCGTTAGCACAGTCGGGTGTTCCTTGGCGAGCCATTTAATACCCAAAAAGCGAAATGGGTCATTCTTGGTCGGACCTCTGACCGTCGATAGGATACGGGCGTCATCCAGACGATCGTTGACATGCGAACTGCGCCACTTCCACGCGTCGTCGGTGGCTGCAAATGCCCCAAACATCGAGTCATCAAGGGTTCCATCCACCGTACCGTGCAGTACCATAAGCGATACACTTGGTCTTCTCATAGTATCTTGAATACTGCACTTATTCACGGACGACGAAGACACCTGCGTCTCCTCTTCGATATCTGTTCCCAGCCGCTTTCGACTCGCTGCTTGAGTACTTAACCGCGTTGACCGTTGGCGATATACGTGCAGACCCTCCTTGATGCGAACGAGTCGCCATTGCAAGTCGGGGAATTGAGCACCTTGGTTCAGAAAAGATTCGTTTGCGGCAATGGTTTCGCTCACAACCGTCTCGGCTTCTTCAATTAACGCTCCTTGGTGTTTCCTCGACAGCCTCACGGGTGGAAATACGTCGTCCGGTAGCGTGAATTTCATGGCTTGGCGATCAGGAATGTTTGGGAATGAGTCCAGACGGACGGAGTAATAGACGCCACCAAGGCAAGACCTCGTGCCTCACTTGCTTAGATTCGATTGTGAGGTATGCAGAGTGTGTCAGTAACCAGTGTGTGTTGTACTGCACCCCTTGCTGGACCGCGGCGGTGGGGCAACATTGGCATCACGAACGAGGGATCAGTACTTGCTATATCTAATATTTGGTAATAATATATTATCTAAAGAACCAGTTTTTAGATGAAATAAATAATTTCATGTCCTGTTATAATTGATCCCTTTTATCTAATCTGATTATTTTTCGGTGTAGATGATCAGATTCTATCCCGTCATCAAGTCAAGTGAAGGACTGACATCTCGTCCTGGTGTCTTTCTGCTACATGTATAGGTCCGCTTTCATTTGTTTGTAGTTAGCTACGCGAAAGAGGGCGAATTCATCATGGAAATAGATAACGGGATTCATTAAAAAAAAATTATGATCTTCTTACGGCTGCTGCGGCGAGTTCCCACGCCGACAGCTCCTTGGCCTCAATCACGCACGACAGGCAGAAGGTGAAGCTCTTCTGCAAGATCTCCTTGGTCACGTCGATAGTCAGTTTCTTCTGCACGCTGCACTTATTGCACGTCAAGCACCGGCAGATCGTGCACCCGGACGGCGACTGAAGAAGTCCGAGTTTCTTCAGGGATTTATGACATACGCTGCAATCTGTGCCGGTCAAAGGGCTAGCCGTATCGCTTCGTCGCACCATCCAGCTCAACTTCTTTAGATTCGAACATTCCACGTATCCTGAACACGCAGAGACGTTGTGGGCCAGCATGAGAATGCCATAACTCTCCATCATTTCTCCTCGCGGATCAACGAAGCCACGGCAGAACATCTCCACGCTATTGTCTTTAACCTGTCGAGCGATGTAGCACGTGGACATTTGTACTCGGATGATATTGTGGCGCTTGTCTAGAGGTGGACAGTCGTCCAGTTCGATGGAATGGATGAGGTTATAGAAGATTTTCTCTCCGTCTGAGTCGAACGCCATGCCCATAGACTCAACGTATAGGAAGTCTCTTCGAGTAGTAAACGCTCCATAGTTTCCTGTTGACCACTTGATAGTCACGGATCGGAACGGGTCCTCCTCACTAGGTAATTGCAGCGTCGCCAGCACTTTTCGATCGTCAAATACGTCGTTGTGGACGTACGAATTACGTGTAATCCAGGATTTTCTGGTATTCGCGAATGCGCCGAATGCCACGTCTTCTACGGTGCCGTCGATGACTCCAGTGGCGATGACGAGTGGGACGTGAGATGGTTTAACCTTTGAGAGAACACAGTCGTCAGCTAGCGAAAAGGATCCATCGGCGCTGGACGAGCTGTGTGTATTGACGCTGTCTTTCTGCTCCAGTGCTGCCGACGCCTCGTCATCATACACGTACGGCCGGCCTGAGTTCTCCCGTTCGTGCCGTTCCATGGCGGAAAGCGACAACAGTCTCGGTCGACTTGGGTCCTTCTCGTCTTGAGACTGTCCTCGGGGTTTAAAGGACCCTTTGGAGTGTCGAGACCGATAGACGTGTACCTTCTCCTTGGACTTGACGTGTTTCCACTGGTCGTTTGGCAGCTGGCGGCCGTTGGAGACGAACATCTCATTCGTCTGCAAGGTCTCCGCTATGATAGCGTCCGCCATATCGGTGAGAATCCGTTGCTGTGTCTTGGACAGAGAGACGCGTTCAGGCACGGCGCCCTGTGGAGTCATAAAGCTTTTAGGCATGGCGCTTTCTAAGCCGATAGACCAGCGTTGAGGTCGGAGCAAGTTTGAGAATGACGGACGCTGCAAGCAGCGGCGTCTACAGCTGAAAATATGAGGTGATGGTGGAGCTCGACCTGTATGTTGCATCATCTTCAATTGGACCGAAGCAGCGTCTTTGCTATCCATCTGTCAGTCAACACGAAGGGATCCGCAACAGGCATTTTGCCAGTTGGCATAGCAAAGGACACTACATGGCACAGCATGGATCTAGTGGCGATCGCAGTAGACGAACTTGTACGTCGAATTAGGCATTGGTCCTTGATGGCAATGCAGCGCTCGATCATGCTCGACGAAGGTCTCTGATCGTAGAAGACAGTGGAGCAGTGGAGTTCGATCTTCACGCTGTCGTAGCTACATTTTTGGGGTCTGGATGCGCAGTAGCATCTGCTAACCATAGAGCGACCGGCTGATATGCAGCGATGGCTCTGGACGGCGCTGTCTCGACTAAAACTCGCAGACGCTCGCTGGGATTTGTCTGCTGGGGACGACGAGTTCAACTTGGCATTTTGCTTACGCTTCACTGCGGTCAGTTCGAGTCAAATGTCTGATTCTCGTTGACGAGTCAGGCACCGGATACTTCGCATGGTGGGAAGTCGAAGTATCCGGGGGCTATGCTCGATTTGAGGGCGTGAAAGTTTAGCATTCGGTGTAAAGGTGGCTTCGCAGCCATAGCCAAGCTGATTCGACTCGAACCTCTGCAAGCAAACTTCGCCAGAGGAAAATTTAGCTTTGGAATGGCCAATCTAGGCATGGATTCCGAATTGAATTCCAAGTGGGTGGGAATCTCGCCGTAACGATATAGAGCTCGATACCGCTTTCTCATCAGGCCGGACTCTGCCGGCGACAGTGTCAACGTGAAGCCGAGGTACACTTTTGGCTTGGGGTGTTCCAAGACGGTTGCGTCAGCGTCGCTGACTCAGCGACAGTGTCGGTGTCGCCGACACCGCTATGTCGGACTTGGTATATGAGATCACGGATAAACTACACGTTCCACGGACGATGTCTATGCAACGAATTGACCTTCAACGAGCGGAGTGTACTGTAGTATATGTAGTAGTAGCAATAACCTACTGTAGTGCTACCGGTGTCTACGACATTGCCGTCGATCGCTGGAGAATCTCGAGTCCAAATTCGTCTACCGTTCTGTGATCGCGCAGAGCTACCTTTCGCTAGTGCGGCTGCCATCTGTCGGTATCCCCTTTTCAACTGCGGTCAATAGCGCTTCCATGGCTAAGATATATAGTTGTTTTTTTTTACTAAGATATTACCATTGCACCCTATCTGCGAAACTGAAGTATGCAGCTACAGCCTCTTGCAGCTGAACCCCTTACCGTGTTGTAGATCACAACACGCCATCTACTCTTTCTAACTGGTGTGTCGTTTTCATTTGACTACGCCTGTAGTTGTATCGAAAATGAACGGGGGCACGGAGTCTGCACAACCAGGCATTGCCTTTTACGCAAATTAGGAATGAGTAAAGATAATCGGTGTCCCGGACAGTACTTCGAAGTAATTTGGACAATCACACATCGAAATGACGCCCGGTTGGAGAAGAGAGCTTGACCAGTTCTCCGAGCCAAAGCGTGCTCAATCAGTCTTTAAACGAAAATCAATACAGCCATTTCTCCTAATAAAATATAATGTGAAAAAAAGCAAGTTGTAAAAAAGTTGTAGAAATCTATCCTATCGACAGTCTCGATAGGATGGATTTGACGATTCTTTTCGATTCGAAACCTCCTCTTCGAGTACATGTAGATTGTCCTTGTTGAAGCTGCTGGGGTTGTTTGCATCGGCATGAGCACAACTCCAATGATGTCGACGAGCGCAACGGCAGAAGTGGCAAGATCGAAATGGCGCTTTGCAGACGAATCTTCAAGCGTCAACAGCAAAAACACCGACAAGACAAGCGCGGCGCAATCCAGTGCTACTCCATCCAGTCTGGATTTCAGACTGGGGTCAAGGGGGTGTCGACCACTGGATTCCTGGCAGCAAGTGCAATGGAGACCCAAAGCAGACATCGAGAACAAAGCCTGTCACCCTGAGAAACCTATGGTGGACCGCGAATTCCTGCCCACGATGCCAGCGAAGTCGTAAGGTCCTGTCGACGACTCGCCTCCAAGATCGTCTACCCGATCTTTTGCCCGACATCATTTTCGCGCCTGGTGTTGACAAGTGCCTGTCCTGTGTGGAGTCGACATTTCACCATGCCTCGCTTAATCGACGCTGCCGAGAAACAAGGCGCCGACTAGGACTCATCAAGAGCACACGCCGGAAGAGTTTGACATGGCCAATTGAATCGATAAGCAGAAGACACAAGTGCAATCGGATTGCTGTTGAACTCTGTGGATCGATGTCAACCCGCCGGCGCCGTCCATCCTTGTCGTTCATGCGCGCTGCCGACACCTCGAAGACAGAAGAGACTTGACACCTTCATATAGTGCTACCGACACTGTCGAACTCGAAGCGATAACATCTCACGCTGCAATGACATCGGGAAGAATGTCGAAGCTGTTGAAGCGTTTGTTTGTTGGGCGATGCAACCACAACGCAGCGACCTGGTGGGTCACGAATTTTCCATCGGGGACAGCCCACGAAGGCGTGTGCCTATGCATCCACGCTGACAGAGTCAAGCCAAACTGGTTCATCACCTCATCGGGCGAGTACGCGTGGCACCGAAAGCATCATTCTTAGACTTGTGTCAAAACCGAAGCCAATGACCAAATCCATCCCAGCGCCGGGTGCCGTACCCGAACGTGTGCATGTATCAGCGGCACAGCAGCAAGCCCTGATTGACATGGCTGACAGCATCGTCGCCGAAACACTGCAGACGTACGAGGCGTTCGTCACCAGCGAACGCCAACTGCCGCACGACCAGTGGAAGCACGTCAAGACCAAGGAGAAGGTGCACGTCTTCCGGTCCAGACGCGGCAAGCCACACAGTCAGTCCTACGACGAGAAGGATCCAAGTCGACCGAGACTGTTGTCCGCGACGGCCATGGAGCAGGCAGCGGCATCCGGACGGCCACCGTTCTACGACGATCCGGTTGAAGAAGAAGAGATAAGCAGCAAAACCCATAGTTCTAGCAGTGACACCGGGTCCTTTTCGTTGCTGGACGACAGTGTACTTGCTGATATCAAGCCGTCCCACGTGCCGCTTGTGGTGGCTACAGGCTCCATTGACGGCACCGTTGAAGACGTGGCGTTCGGTGCCGTCGCCAATACTAAACGCAGGTGGCTGATACGCAATGCGTACGTCAAGAACGATACATTCGACGGCCGTAAACTGCTTGCAACACTGCAGACGCCGAGCGAGGAGGACCCGTTTCGGTCCGTTGTGATCAAGTGGGCGACGGCAAACTTCGGGCCGTTCATGACACGCCGAGACTTTTTGTATCTAGAATCTATGGGTATGGCGTTCGACTCAGACGGTGAACGGGTGTTCTACAACCTCATTCACTCCATCCAATTGGACGAGTGTCCACCTTTAGACCGCCTCAATATCATCAGAGCCAACACTTCGATCTGCTACATTGTCCGTCAGCTCAACAGCGACAGCGTCGAGTTGTTCAACCGAGGATTCGCCGAGCTTGGCGGCGAAATGATGGAGAGCTACGGCATCGTCCTTCTCGGTCAGAACGTGGCGTCCTGTGTTGGCGTCGTGGAGTGCTCAAACCTCAAGAAGCTGAGCTGGTTGATGTCTCGCCGTCGACGCAGCGATCGCTCGGGTATCGCCCCGACAAGCGCGTGCGGCGTGTGCCGCAAGTCGCTTAAGAACTTGGGATCTCTGCTACAGGCTCCGTCGGGGTGTCCGATTTGCCTGTGCGTTGTGTGTAGCAAGTGTAGCGTCCAGAAGAAGCTGACGGTCGACACGTCCAACGGGATCACACTGAAGAATTTTACCTTCTGCCTGTCCTGCGTCATCGAAGCGCGCGAGTTATCAGCATGGGAAGTCGCCACTGCCCGCCTCGAGAGCTCGTAAAGAGACCAACTGATTCAATAGAATAGACGTACGCCATTCATTATTTAACAGTTTGATCGAGCTATGAATATCTGGAAACTGAACATGTAACTTCAACATGTGGCTGCGGTTTGGCCGGTCCTCGTTTCGCTAAGCGAGACCTTGAACAAGAGAAGCAAAGCTGACAAGGTCTGCCTGAAACAGGATCGAGATCGAGCTTTGCAACCGAGAGCAGACGACGCCGTCTATAATAAGTAGTTCAAAGCACAGCGCTTGGGTGACGATTCTCGAAAGTACCGGTTTGCGCTTACGAGACAAACTTCTAATCGCAGGCTCGTCAATGCTTCGCGTTGAGCTTCTACCGCGAGGACGTGCATTCCAGGGCAATACTTACTGCTGAAATCTACCTCCACATCATTGTAAACGTGGCTGAAGAACAGCGATCGAGTCCATCGGCCAAACCCGTTTCAGTCCGCAAGTTGCAGTGCATGACCAACGCTGGTCATCGTGCTGTCGCCGATCATCGCTCGGTCTTATGTGCACGAGGCTGCAACGGCCATCGAGGTCCAGGCAGACAGGCCGCGGGTTCAATTGCAAGCCATCTTCATGCTCATCACTTTTGGCGTCTGGCCGTCGATCTTAGGCATCGACTTATCTTCCCTCACTAACGCAGCGACGAAAAACCTAGATGAGAGCGACGAAGGAATTTGGGGGCGTCAAAGGCAAGCGAGCGTCCTAATGCCACGACACGGCGACGAGAAGTTTTGCGAAAGTTTTCACCGATGCCGCGACACCCCAACAGCGCCGCGCTGCTGGCACCGAGCCTGCGTCTCTGACCCATCTCTGGAGAAAATCTCAGCTGGTCTGCCCGACTGGCTGCGGCCTTTTGCTTTGTGTTGGGGCGTCGGGTCACACCGAGGTTCTTGCCATTCCAGAACTTGTCCAGCATCGCAAAGCTGTGTAAATCATGGCAAGGTCCACGCTGGCAGCGAACGTGGTGCCCGACCGCATCCAGCTGTCCAAGAAGAAACACCAGGAGTTGACTGACATGGCCGACGGTATCATTGCCGAGACGCTGCACACGTACGAATACTTCGTCGCCAATGGCCGTCAGCTCCCCAGTGACCAGTGGAAACACGTCAAAAGCAGGGAAAAGGTCCGTGTCTTCCGCACGCGACGCGGCAAGCTGCAGAAGATGCACAGTCAGTCGCACGACGAGAAGGACCCGAGTCGACCGAGACTCATGTCCGCTGGCGCCATGGAGCAGCACCAGCGGCAGGCGGCGGCGTACGGCAGACCGTACGCCTATGACGACCCAATTCCTGATGAGGAGGTCAGTACCACCACCAATAGTTCGTCCAGCGACGCCGGATCCTTCTCGCTGTTCGAGGACAGCGTGCTGGCCAAGGTGAAGCCATCTCATGTACCACTCATGGTCGCGACTGGCCAGATTAACGGGACGCTAGAAGACGTGGCCTACGGCGGTCTTGCCAATACAAAGCACGCGTGGCTCGTGCGGAACTCGTACGTACACAACGACTCGTTCGACGACCGGAAGATTCTGGCAGTATTGCAGTCACCGAGCGAGGAGGATCCGTTCCGGTCCGTGACCGTCAAGTGGGCTACCGCCGACTACGGCGCGTTTACTACCCGTCGTGACTTCACGTACCTTGAGTCACAGGGCATGGCCTTCGATTCAGACGGCGACCGTATCTTTTACTACCTGATTCACTCAATCGAGCTTGATGATTGCCCGCGTCTCGACTTGAGCCACAATATCATTCGCGTTCAACTATCCGTGGCCTACATCACGCGTCAGGTCAATGATGATACCGTGGAGATGTTTGGTCGTGGCTTTGCGGACCCTCGTGGCGACATGATCGAGAGCTACGGCGTGATGCTGCTCGCCAACAATATCACTTCATCTGCTGGTGTCGTGGAGTGCTCCAACATGAAGAAGTTGAGCTACCTCATGACGCTACGCCGACGCAGTGACGCGTCCGGTATCATCCAGTCTAGCGACTGCGGGGTGTGTCATAAGTCTATAAGCAGGCTCGGAGGACTGCTGCAGTCACCGTCAGGGTGCCCGGTTTGTCGCCGGGTGACATGCAGTAAGTGCAGCGTCCAGAAGAAGCTCACGATTGAGGCGTCGACGGAGATTACGCAGAAGAACTTTACATTCTGCCTACCCTGCGTCATTGAGGCCAAGGAGCTGTCGGCATGGGAGGTCGCTACGGCCTGCCTCCGCAGCGAATAACGATAGATTGATTATAGGCGTAACTGGCGCCAGATATTTAAATACAGCGAACAGGTTTTTTGAGCTCTTCGACGTATTCTTCATCGTTTGAACGCGAACCGTCATCTTCATGTAGTCACGTTCGACGCGAGTTCGTGCGGGCAAGAATGTGCGCAGATCGATGTGATCACGTCTCGTTGCCCGCGTTGACGGTGTACGTTGTCACGGGCACATGGCTCCAGCATGGTGTCCTTGGCAACGCTTCTGTGCCCCCACACAACCGTGCCGGTCACAGTGGGAGACTGATGCCGTCTTTCGCGACGACCCACGGTCACGCTGCCTTACCACCTTGACAACCAGCGACGAAGCAGCCATGTGACTGCGAATTGAAGCTCTAGCGAAGCCGCGCATGCTCTACGCGTGCAGCCAGCATCGGTTGCCGGCAGCCAGGCTTAATATTCGCCAGCGAGGACAGGCTGTCTGCCACCAGTTCACTGGCGAATCAAGCAATCGATGCTGTCTATGCGCCTCCTTCCTGCCGCCGGCTCCCTTCCCCACCCATGTCAGACTGGCATTGTCACCAGCCGCACGATACATCCCAGCAGCCATTTCTTGACTTGCTGCGTCTAGCGTGGGCATATTGCTCATTCAGGCTGACTCAACCGGCAGCTAGATTATCGAGGACTGTTCCACCATGAAGAGCTACACGCTGGCGGACAGCGTGCTGCCGAAGCGCTTGCACTTGTCACCCGAGCAGGAACAGGCTCTGACTGACTTGGCCGACCGCATTGTAGCGGAGACGTTGCAGGAGAACGAGGACTTTATCGCCAACGACCGGCGGGTCGACGCCCGTATCTGGAAGAAAGTCAAGTCGCGCGAGCAGGTGCACGTGTACCGGACGCGGAGGTCTGGCAGCAAGCACCGTGGCAGCAGCAACGACGTCAACGAGAAAGAACCCAGTCGTCCGAGACTGTTGTCCAACAACGCCGTTGAACAGCATCAACGCGACGCCATCGCGGCCGGCCGGCCGCTCGGTTTCGTGAACGACGAGGACGAGGACGTTCGCGGCGAGGAAACCAGTCGAACCAACACGCACAGCTCGACAAGCGAAGGCGGCTCTTTTGCACTGGAAGACAGCGTACTAGCGAAAACCAAGCCGTCGTACGTGCCGTTAATCGAAGCGTCTGGCGTCATGGACGGATCCGTCGAGGACGCGGCGTTCGGAGCCCTGGCCGACACGAAATATGCGTGGGAAGTGCGCAACTCGTACACAAAGAACGACGGATTTGACGGCCGGAAAGTGCTCGCCACGCTACAGAGACCTAGCGAGGAGGACCCGTTCCGGTTCGTCGGTGTTAAATGGGCCACGCGCGACTACGGCACGTTCATGACCCGGCGAGATTTAGTATTCCTAGAGTCGTCCGGCATGGCGTTCGACTCCGATGGCGAGCGTGTGTACTACAGCCTGGCACACTCGATAGAACTAACCGAGGTGCCCACACTTGACCGGTTGAACATTATCCGCATGAACCTCTCGAGCTGCTACATCATGCGACAGCTCAACGACGACAAGATCGACGTCTACTGCAGAGGATACTCGGATATGGGTGGCGAGATGCCCGAAGGATTCAGCGTAAGCTTCTTCTCGGCAGCCGTGGCTGGCGTCTCGGGCATGGTCGAGTGTTCCTACCTCAAGAAGCTGTCGTGGTACATGAGCCGCCGTCGGCAGAGCGATTCTACTGGAGAATCGCGTTCCAGTCACTGCGGCGTGTGCGGTAAGAGCGTCAATAAGCTCTCCAGCCTCGTACAGCCCGGCAGCGGGTGTCCGATCTGCAGACTGCCGGTTTGCAGCAAGTGTAGCGTGCAGAAGAAGTTGTCTATAGTGTCTCCCGACGACGTCGTCCAGAAGCAGTTCTCCTTCTGCCTGTCCTGCGTCATTGAAGCACGGAAGCTGCCGGCTTGGGACGTCGCGACGGCGCTGCTCAAGGCCACGTGATTGAAGACGAAAGATGCAGTGAAAGAGGTGCACGAACGTCGAAACCAAGGGCGAGTATTAGATACCGTGCCGTCCAGAATAGCCACGAGCGTCAGGTGAAGCGCAGAACTACGAGGCTGAAGAATATAAGGGTCCACGTATAGCTACGAAACGCGCGTTATTAAGCATGACTCATCAGAGCATGCCTCGCTGCTGCACTTGCATGTTGAACTGAGAGGAAGTTGGTGGCGCGTTCAGGTCCGTTCGACCTCTGCCTCCTATTGCTTGCATCGTCGAGTTGCTGCGAAAATGCAGGGGGGCCGGAGCCTGCAGTTTCGTCGGATGTTTTCAAGTGATCCGCGCCGGGATTTGGCGCAGCACAAAGCTCACGCAGCCAGTGAAGCTGCTTCGTCGCGACGTGATGCCTTGACTCATTCAAAATCAAATGGCAAGGGCCAACTTCACCTAGGTACATGGATAACGCTACAATACATGTAGCATTTTTCCAACGCGGTGCTGCCACGCAAGCTTTTGGTTTATGGATTGCGAGGTTGTAGTGCATGTGCGCGAAAGACATCGGTTGGTGGTGTGAGTTTTCGAGCTTTCGACATCAGAAGAAGCATGAATCCAATCGCTTTTTGCATGCATTCGGGCGAACCGTTCACAAAGACCTTGGACGAAAGCTCAACAGCACGACGCAAAAGGCAAGCAGGAAAAAGCGGAGAAGGACAAAAGATGCAGCGTTCAATCTCTGCTCGAGCGAGTCCGGCTCGGTGCATGAAAAAGTATGATACGCAGAGTGACGAGCGGCGACTGGACTTCAGTCTGGAGGCGCAACCGGCAAGTTGCAGTCTCTGGTCCAAGATTTGTTGGTTAGCCCGCCATGTTTGCTCTGCAGTCTCCCGATCGTCATCTGCACCGCAAGCTTAAGCCACTTTGAGACTTGCTTTGTCGCGAGTAAGACGGTTGGTGGCAATAGAGTTCCACAATGGTATTCAAGGACATGGACAAGATCATTCCTAGCCGCGTGAACCTCAGCAAGGAGCGCCAGAAAGTGTTAACCGACACGGCCGATCGCGTCGTGGCCGAGACGCTGCGTTCGTACGAACTGTTCATTGCTAACAACCGCCAGGTCGACTCTCGTCTCTGGAAGCACGTTAAGTCGCGTGAAAAGGTTCACGTGTATCGTACTCGCCGTTCCGGTTCGAAGCGGTTAAATGCCGTCAACGACAAACAACCGAGTCGACCACGGCTACTGTCGAACAACACGATAGAACAGCAGCAACGGGAGGCACAGGCAGCGGGACGACCGCACGCCTTCACCCCCGATGAAGAGGACGAGGAACCAGAGCAGGGTATCGAGAAATCTGCGAGCAGCACGTCGCATTCCCAGTCGCAGTCTCGGTGCACACAGAGCTCGTCGAGCGACGCCGGCTCATTCACTGTGTTCCCCGAAGAGAGCGTGCTGGAAAAGGTCAAACCGGCTAACGTCCCGCTGGTCGCAGCGATCGGCATCATCGACGGCTCCGTGGAAGACGTCGCGTTCGGGGCCCTGGCCAACACAGACGACGCGTGGTTCGAGCGCAACTCGTACGTCAAGAACGACGGGTTCGACGGCCGCAAAGTGCTGGCGTCGTTCCAGAACCCGAGCGAAGAAGACCCGTTCCGGTTCGTCGGCATCAAGTGGGCCACGCGCGACATCGCCGCGTTCGTGTCTCGACGCGACGTCCTGTTCATTGAGTCGTCGGGTATCGCGTTGGATTCGGACGGCGAGCGCGTGTATTACAGTCTTGCGCACTCGATTGAGTTGGACGACTGCCCGGTGCTGCCCGACCGGTACAACGTCGTCCGTCTCAACCTGTCCATTTGTTACATTATGCGCCAGGTCTCAGAGGCCCAGATCGAAGTGTACGCCCGAGGCTACGCCGACATGGGCGGCAACCTGCCTGCGGTCATTGGGCTGAACGTCTTCTCGCAGGGTGTAGTCGACGTGGTAGGCATCGTTGAGGCCTCGTATCTCAAGAAACTGGCGTGGCAAATGGCTCGCCGCCGTACGAGCGACGCGTCCACACACCACACGAAAGACTGTGGCGTCTGCGGCAAAAGCACTAAGAAGTTTGGCAATCTTATCAACACTGGAGGCGCCTGTGCTATTTGTCGACAGACGATCTGCCAGAAGTGCAGCGTCCAGAAGAAGCTGCTCTTAGATGCCGAGGAAGACCTGCAGCGCCAGCTCACATTCTGTGTGTCATGCGTGATCGACGCGCGACAACTGTCGGCATGGGACGTTGCCACGCAGCAGCTCAAGCTGAAGCAACGCCGGTAAGCGAAAGGAAGAAGCGTAGAGGAGCAAGTAGAGATAGTAGCTAGAGAAGGAAACGTAATTAAGCACTTCGAATTGACAAGAGGCGATCGAGCCGTCGTATTTTATCATAAGAAGTCTCAACGTCCTCCTCATTCTATCTACCGGTAGTATTATCATGCGCACACGTAAGTACCATGCATGCACCGTATCCTCCGTCTCAGCATCGTCTCCTTGTTGGAATTTCTCGCTGACGGCACACCGAGATGGTTGGCCACGAATGGTGGTGTACAAGTACAGCGGACATGGGCATCGAAGTTGGGCCGGTACGGTTCCCTTTCTACAGTGTATAGCCGATGAACATGTACATCAGCATGTACGTCTTGAAGGCAACACAGGACACATCAAATTGTTAAATCGATAGCGGGGCCGCCTCTCTCAGCGAGACTTGTAGTCCCGTAACCAGAAGGTGTGGTGACCATATCTAACATGAGTCTATCCCATGTTGACGAGATCGTTTGTGTGTTTTCTCAATGAGAGCTTGCTCTAATGACGTACAAGTAGAACCTTTCAGGATCGCCGCGGATCCATGTAAAGTCTGCTGCAGTGGTCCTCCACGTCCACTGAAGACCGGTGCATCTTCCATCGTGGCAGTCATCGGCGCCGCGAAAGAATCGGCGGCACAGCACGGTGCGGCCGATCATGCCGCTAAGTAAACCGATGCGGTTTACAGAAGTTGGTGTACTCACGGCACCATCAATGGTGGTTCATCACGACCGCACAAGCTAGAGTTACAGTATTGCCCGCAATCGCAGTTTTAAAATTGAGACTCATCGGCTCTTGTCCGACAGCAACTTGGCGACCGCCTCGGCCTTGGTCGAAGCACTCAACACCCTGCGTCGACAAGGTCCCCAAGGACCGACGGCAGATGCGTCCCCATTCGAGTCGAGCCGGCGCGCCCGGTATCTTATTAACGCTGCCTATCCACCGAAAATTACCCTCGCCTTCTCTGCATTACACTGCCACCTGATGGCAGCACCGCAGGCAACATGGCAGCCAACAGCACCGATATAACAACGACCAAGCCCGCGTTATCCAGTCTAAGGGGATCATGACCCGATCAAGGTGGGGTTGGGCTCTGAAGATAAAGAAGAATTATTGGACGGTTATCGTTACTGCAAAGCGCCCAGCAGACAACACACCTGGAGGGTGCTTTGGATCGGCTTGAATCTTCCATTTGGTGTTGTCGTCGCGACGTAGCGGCGCACACTCTTGATAAGATGGTGTCCATGGCAGACCACGCGGCCATGCTGTGCCAGTTTATTGGTGCTCCGAGGTCTATCCTTCTGAACCCCCGAGCCTCGTTTTTCCATCGTGACCAGCGGATGTCGCTGACCGATTCTACATCGGCTCAAGTCGCACATGGCGCGACACGACGACGCGCTTGAGCCCAATGGGCCTCAGCCCATAGAAGAAGACGCTCCGATCTCAGTTGAAGAATCCCGAGCCACCCTCGCCTCCCACTACCAGCCGTAAAAGCTCGAGGTCTCAGCTATAATACCAGCACTCTCTCTTCAACTTTTACGTCGTGAAGTTGGCATAGGACGGAACTGCCCAACTGGGAACGCACAGAAGGTGATTCATTTCACGAAGTGCTCGCAGACAGCAAAAGCATGAGGTTTGGAGATTCGTGGGATGCCGGCCACCTCTTCCCTCCTCGGGAGCTGGTGCTCACGCGTACAGACACGGAGGAGTACGAAATATTGGCCGACCAGCTCGTAGCTGAGACCGTACAGGCCAGTGAGGACTTCATCGCTGATCGACGTGCCGTCGACCCGGAACGATGGAAAGTCGTCATGGAGAAAGGTAGTATGACGGCGTACCGTTCCCGGTCACGCGGCCATCGGCGTGCGCGCCGGGACCGTCTGGAGACGGAAGAAGCCGTCGAGTCGTCCTTTGTGCATCGGCCGAAACTCTACTCGACCGACAGCTCGTTGAGCGACTTAATGGGCCGTGGCCACACGCACCTGTCGTACGAGGACGACTCGTCTTCGCTCGGGGGCTCAGACTACTACGAGAACAGCAGAATCGACGGCGAGTCGCCCGAACAGAGCGTACTGGGCAAGACACGTCCGCCTAACACGCCTATGGTCTTTGGTGGCGGTGTTATTCCAGGAACCGTAGACGACGCCGGCCTCGGCTTTCTAGCAGATACTGAAGAGCGCAGCATCATGCGCGCAGCGACAAACAAGGACATGAATGTCAAGGACCTGCGCATCTTGGCGCAGATCCGCGGCCCTACACAGCAAGACCCGTACCGGTTTCTCGGTCTCAAATGGACCTCCTACCGAGCAGCAGGTGGCGTGGCTAAGCCTCGAGATGTGGTAGTGATCGAGTCAACAGGCATGACGACGGACTCGAACGGCGAACGTGTGTTCTACTTTTTGAACCATTCAGTGGAGATCGAGGAAGTCCCAGAGTTTAAGAAGCAAGGACTGGTACGTCTTCGCACGTCCAGCTGCCGTGTCGTGCGGGCGTACAACAGCCAGGGAGAAGTGGAGGTGTATTTCCGCGGATACTGCAACGCCGGCGGTCACTTTAGTACTGGAGCATCGACACAACTGCTCTGTGACGGATTACTCGATACCGCGCAGGTGGTAGAGGAGTCGTATCTGAAGAAACTGGCGTGGTTTGTCCACGCGTACGCTCGACGACAGAACAGCCACGGGGACGACGACCCGCATGAAGGATGCGCTTGCTGTCATAAACTGCCTACGAAAGGATTCAAGAAGCTGCTGGAGAGCAACACGACTTGCTTCTTGTGCAGGCGTAAGGTCTGCAAGAAATGTACGGTCAAGAAGAACCTACCCATCGACATGGCCAGTAAGAAGAGTCTCGACTTCTGTTTAACTTGCTATCTGAAAGCGAAGAAGCTGTCGGCGCTGAGAGTTGCAGTGGCAACGTTGCCAAAGTAGATGTACCGACAAAAACATTCTGGATAGTCACTTAGTTTTAAAGCTCAACAATAGCAAAAACGTAATGCAACAACTTCATGTTGAAGTGGGCTTGAAGCGTTTGATAACCTCAATCCTGATTTCTCGTAGCGTTTAAAGTTTTAACTTAAAACCAGCGTATTCTTGCTGGCCTAAGCTAACAAACTGTTCGTTTTACAACAAGGAAAACTTCAAGGATGACGAACACTTGTACATACTTACTTCTATGTAGTCTATTGGTCTCTATTTTTCTCTAAGTTATGGTGACGATTTACGACTTGGTTAGCGTCGCCACTGCTACATGCCACGCAGGCATCCTTTTTGCTTTCAGGTAGCAGTCTAAGCAGAACTCGCGTTCTTTCTTCTTCATATGTCGCCCACGTGCACCCTCGACCGGCAGCATTTTCTTGACTGTGCACTTGTGGCAAACGAACTTTCGACAGAGTCTGCATCCTGAACTTTTCTCCATAAAGCCTCCTAATCTTCTTGCTGAAAGTTTGCCATGGCAACATGGACAGCTACCAACTTTGTCTAGTAAAGACGCTGAACCGTTGCTACTGAAACTGCTGCCTTCGCTCGTACTGCCGCTACTGGAGCTCCATCGATGCTGGTCGTGCATCAACCACGCCAGTTTCTTCAGATACGATTCCTCCAATACGCGTGGAAACGCAATCAGACCTTCAGCGAACTGAATCGCGCTAAGACGTACACTAAAGTTGCCTCCTATTATCAGATAGCCCCTGGCGTACGCGTCCACGGCCTCTCCGTTCTGACATGGCTTCATGATATGGCAAGCAGAAAAAACTGTACGCACCAGGCCAAAATCTCGAAAATCAGGCACCTGATCCAACTCGATCGAGTGGTTAAGAAAATAGGCAAAACGTTCTCCGTTCGAGTCGAGTGCCATGCCGGTTGCCTCGATGATCAAGTAATCTCGTGGCTTTACGATCAGCGACACCGTTCGACTGGCCATGCTAGTGCACCATTTGACCCCAAGAAACCGGAACGGGTCTTCCTTGGTCGGGCCGTGGATCTGTGCTAAAATCCTCATATCTTCCACCACATTGTCTTTACTCGTGTTGAAACGTGTGCGGCTACGTTCGTCAGTGTCTGCTAAGCTCGCAAACGCCATGTCCTCTACCGTTCCAGGGAAAGTTCCATGTGAGAATACCGTGGGGACATTGGCAGGTCGAAATTTTTCCAACACGCTGATTTCTGCTCCAGCTTTTGCGCCAAATTTTGTAAAGTCGTCGTGATGTAGACTCCTCTCGTCTTCAGAGTCGTAGTCGTCGATGTTGTGGAATCCGTCTCTGAACATATCATCTTCGAGAGACCGGTTGCTTGGATAGAACGTGGGATTCTGCGGAGACGCGGCCACCACGACGGTATCTTCGCTCCAGACTCTTTCGCGTTTGGTACAGGTAGAGCGAAGATCCGACATGTTCTGGTACACTACGATGTTGTCTTTCTCCTTGATTCGCTTCCAGCTGCTGGGGTCGACCACACGCCCTTGAGCTGCAAAGTCCTCACTGGCGTGTAAAGCCTCCGCTACAAGGCGGTCGGCGATCATTTCGATTGCTCGTTCATCTTCAGGTGATAATTCTAAAGGCGTTGGTGGGTACACAATTCCATGGTTCTCCATCACTTTTACGCGTGGAAAATTGCCAAGTGACGAACTTTTACGAGCCGCAAAAGTTTGGAATCGGCTGGTGAGTCTCCGCGCTTCATCCAGATCTCGAGAAGCAGCCGAATTTGGCTTAAGTTTTCACTATCGGGTGCCTGACTTTGACGATGCGATGTTGAGGCTGAGGGTTGGCATCCCTAACTTGGGATAGGCGGGAGACAAAGATGGCAGGAGCCACGCAGAAAATGGGGCGACGGCGTGATTGTGCGTACCCCAACAGAGCTTGAGCACACTGCGACAAGTTACATGGAGCAGAGCGAGCTTTTGATGGCGGTGCTCTTCGGTTCATGATCTTGATCAAGATCCTTGGCTCGATTGCGTTCCAATGTATGTAGATGAGATGTTTATGTGGTCAACGCACGCGTCGCCATTGCCACGTGCCACGCTGGTAGGTTCTTGGCTTCGAGATAGCAACTCAGACAGAAATCCATGGCCTTGTTCGTCTTCTCGATATCAATCGGTAACGTCTTCTTGACCGTACATTTGCGGCACATGGTTTTCCTACAGAGTTGGCACATGCAGTTCCCGTCCAAGAGTTTGGCAAACCCCGTGTGCAATTTCTGATGGCAACACGGACACATGTCGGAAACCTGCAGCGAAGCCAGTCGGCGACTTCGGTCTGCTCGACGTTGTGCCTGGAACAACCACAGTAGCTTCTTGGTGTACGCCTCTTCGACGGTTTGAGGTATCGTCATCAACCCGTCGCAATACATGTACGTGCACAGCCGCTCGGAAATGTATCCACGGGTGTCCATGAATCCCCGACTGAAGGTCTCGATCGCTCCAGTCGAATGTGGCATCACAATATGGCAGGCGGAGAATACAATCCTCACGTTGCCGAAACTTCTAAAGTCTGGCACTTCGTCCAACTCGATCGAATGATTTAGAATGTACGAGAACCGTTTGCCGTCTGAATCGAGTGCCATGCCGGTGGACTCGAGCACGGCGTAGTCTCGAGGCTTGATGAAGCGTCCAGCGGCGCCTCGCGTAGTCTGTACACACCACTTTATTCCTAAGAAACGGAACGGGTCGTCTTGTGTAGGTCCTTGAAGCCGTGCTAGGATCCTCGTATCGTCGGTGGCTACCTCTTTGGTTCTGGAATTCCTCATCCTGCTGCGTTGCTCGGTGTCTGCAAAGAAGCCTAATGCGGCGTCTTCGACTGTACCCGGTACGACGCCCGTACAGAACACCAGCGGGACCCGGTCGGGTCTGGATTTCTCCAACACATTCTGTTCTAGCACGTCTACATAACTGAAGTCATGCTCTAGCTCATCTTCTGAGTCGGCCTCTAAGAACGTGACGCTCGGATACGTCTCCGATAACGCGTGTTCCATTTTCTTGTCCATAACAGGGTAGAACGACGGCATTTGAGGAGACGCCGCGACGGCTTCGGTCTCGTCGCTTGAGACGCGGTCCCGCCGAAACCTGGTGGACGCACGCTTTCGTGTCCGATACGCCGTCATGTTGTGTTTCTCCTTAACGACCTTCCATCGAGTTGGGTCGACGATACGTCCTTGAGAGACAAAGTCGTCGTGTGTGCGTAAGGTCTCCGCTACGAGCTGGTCTGCTAAATGCTCCAAGGAAACAGCATCCGCTGCAGATAACGCGAACGGCTTGGGCGGATAAACGACGTTGACCCGATCCATCTCGTTTCGGTGAGGAAACTTGAGAAGTGCGATCGTGGCGGCACAGTACCGGGTTTAGTCGGGGCGATACGGTCAGGTTTCGCGACGTGGTCGATTAGTGGACAAATCGCCTGGTCGTTGCAGCGCGAAAGGTTCTGGGCTTGTACTGGTGTCTGGTTGTTTCTCTTTACGGCTTGTGGACGTGTTTTCATCCGGTTTACAAACAGCTTACCAAAGACAAACACTAAAGCACAGGTATTGCTGCTTAAAAGACGGTGTCTCGTGTGAGTCCCCCGTCGTTGGTCTCCGCGACACTGAAGCGCGCTCGATGACTTCAGAAACATCTCAGTAAACTTACAGACATAACATCAAGCAGAGCTGTAGACTCTAGTGTTGACAATTGGGAGTCCAACTTGGATCAAGTCACTTGGACTCCACGTAAAATGTGCGTGTAAATGTATGCAACGTCGAACCTTGAAGCGGGTTTCGCTTTCGACTATGTCGACAGTGAATCGTTAAATTGTTTTTACCGAGCAGAGATTCGTTTCACTCCATTATGAAAATGAGTATGTCATTACGCTACGCTACGCAGTACAGTCTCCGCCTCTATTGATGCTCTCCCAGGTATACGATGACGTCAAGAAGTATTTCGGTAGCGCAGGTATGCACTTGCGTCTTGACCAAGCGATAAATCTATCTCATATAAACACAAAATGAAAACTCCAACAACAAACAAACAAGTTGAAACATCCAACACGGTTTACAACATGATTTATTTTTGACCAATCACCACATTCTAAAACAGTGGTGAACATTTGACAACCATGAGCTGGTCAACTCAAGACCTCTCTCCCGCTCTACGTCGCCTCCAGAGCGATACACAGGACTTCTGGGCCCCGTTACACTCCATTCGTCGCGTAGACGCCTCCAGCTTGACCCCGCTACAGTTCCACCGCGAGTTCGTGAGCCGCAATGTGCCCGTCGTGTTGCTAAACGCCATGACATCACCAAAGTGGCAATTTGCAATGGCAAATTGGCAGAATGATGATCATTTGATTGCCAAAAGTGGAGACCACCCCGTGACTGTGGACGTGACGCCCTTCGGTTTCGGAGACGCGGTACTGGAACTTCCGGGAAACCATGGGGACGTTTTTGTCATGCCCGAGGAGAGGGACATGCCTATGGCTGAATTCATGAAGATTTTGAAGAACCGCGATGAATTTGACGGTGTTCCCTATCTTTCACACCAAAATGACAGTTTGAGGGAACAATTTCCCGAACTTTTTGACGAAGTGCCCCCAGCTATGGAGTTAGCTGTGGAAGCCTTCGGTAACGAGCCGGAAGCTGTGAATATTTGGTTTGGAGACGAGAGAGCGGTATCGACGATGCACAAGGATCACTATGAGGTGGGAAATATTTTCTTTTTTAGTCTTAGTTTTTTATTATCTAATTGGATTTTCGTGGATAGAATTTTTACTGTGTGGTGAAGGGACAAAAGCATTTTACGTTGTTGCCACCGTCGAGCGTGGGTTGCCTGTATGAACGTGAGTTTTCGTCCGCAAGATACCGTCATGTGGATTCTCCTGAACCTAAAGAGGAGAATCTTGTGGTGGATGTTGAAGCTACCGAGCGATTTCATAAAAGATATCCGCAATATCAGAAGTGGACGATTCTGTCGTCACCTGATAAGGGAGATACGCCGTGGATCCCCGTGGATCCGTTGAATATTGACACGGAGAAGTACCCGCTCGCAACAACGTTGAACCCAATTGAAGTTGTGCTCAATGCTGGCGAAGTGCTGTATTTGCCGTCGTTGTGGTATCACCGTGCAGCGCACTTGTGCCCGACGATCTCGGTGAATTACTGGCATGACATGGAGTTCGACTGTCGATACGTGTACTTCAACTTTGTCCACGATGTTGGAGCGACAATCACAGCGTTGGAGGAGGAAAAACGCAGCAAGAAAATTGAAGAGGAAACCGCAGCATAATAATAAAAAAGTTGTTGTTACATTAATTTTTTTTTAAACCTTTCCTGTGATAGAGAGCGAGTTGATTCCTACTCGCCACGCCGACAAGCGCTTGGCTTCTAAATAGCATTTCAGACAGAACTTTATCATCGTCTTCATCTTGTGTTCACCAGTGAAACATATCTTGACTGTACACTTTCGACAGGCTGAGTGTCGGCAGAGAACACATATCGAGTAGTCGAACAGTTTCCCAAGACCGCTGCTCAAGTTGTCATTGCAGCTTTGGCAAGTGTCAAGTTGCTCCGGTTCTTGAGCTGGACGGAGATGACCAACACTCTGACGCTCATTTTGAAGCAGCCACATCAGTTTTCTAGTGTTCGCCTCCTCGATCATCTGCGGTACAGCCATGAGAATATCACAATGCTGGTTCATACTTAACCGCTCGGTTAATTTACTAGTGGAGTCTGTGAAGCCACGACTGAAGACTTTTACTTCGCCCTCTGTGTAAGGACGGATGATGTGGCACGTCGAGAATGTTTGTCGTACGAAGCCAAAGCTGTCGAACTCGGGCACTTCATCCAATACAATGGAGTGGATAAGCAGATAACAGAAGAGCTCTCCATCGGAATCAAGAGCCATTCCACTTGACTCGAGTACGAGATAATCTCGTGCCTTGATGAAGTGTTTAGCAGCTCCAGGAGTGGACAGAGTGAGCCATTTGACTCCTAGAAATCGGAACGGATCTTCGTAACTTGGTCCTTCGATTCGAGCCAAGATCTTCGCATCATCGACATTTGCGTCGGTACATTTCGAAGTGCGTGTTCTCGTACGAGCTTCTGTGTCTGCGAGGAACCCCAACGCTGCGTCCTCGACACTACCTGGAACAGATCCAGTACAAAATACCATAGGTACATGGTCGGGCCGTGATTTCTCCATCGTTTCCACTTCTAATGATTTGTTTTCGAAGTCGTTGACCTCTGGACACGTCGCACTGACGCCCAAGTACGAGGAATTTAAAGCGTTTCGTATATTCTTTTCTGTGACGGGGTAAAATTCTGGTTTCTCTGGAAATTTTGCCAGTGCGTCCGTGTCTGCGCTGTTTATCCGCGGTCGAGGCTTGGAGGTTCTCCAACTTCGCGACCGGTACGCGGTTATGTTATCTTTCTTCTTCAAAGACCTCCATTGAACTTTATCGGTGATGCAGCCTCGAGAAATGAACTCGTCATTTGCAGTCAAAGTCTCAGCCACGAGTTGGTCAGCCAACTGCTCGAGAGAATCCGCAGCAGCAGCAGATAGAACAAAAGGCTTGGGAGGGTAATTGGCTTTGGAGTTCATCGAGCTAATTCAGAAATGCTACTCACTCCACTTTGGACCCGCAAATAGTCTTGGAAACGCCATTGCCGATACCAGCCGGTAACAAATCGGCTGGAGTGAAATGTGGCCGGGATCCCAAGTTACCAAGGATTTTACGATCCAACGCAGCTCCATGTAATGTTGACTTGTAAGGATAGAGGCGAAATCTAATCCGTAGACTTGGCCAAGACCGGACAACACGATCTTATCAGGTGGTACGTGCATGTGTTGCCCGTTCCAATCCACTGGCAACACCGCTAGCGTCAAATATAACTTCCCATCACTCTGTTGTCAGTTTTCATAATAATCTACTGCTAACATTTTCTTACTTGCACTAGTGGTGTTATCCGTTTGCCATCTAGCTAGAGCTCGTCGACTTGGACAGCGACTTGGAAAGCGAATTGTTGTGGCGTATCCCCCTCGAACTCTTCGGTGTCGTCTCGAGCGCAACGTTCCAAGCGGGTAGTTTCATTGCCAATTTCATACAATCTTGGCAGAAGTCCATGCTCTTTTCGGTAATCCCTCCGCTGTTGCCAAAGTCCACACCCACTCGTTTAGACACCGTGCACTTGTTGCAGAAGACTCGATGACACACTTGACAAGCTGATCCCGTCTGAATAAGACGGCCGAACTTGCTCAACGAGTGGTGACACGACGCGCAGTGCGTCGGCGCGTGCGCTTGAGCCGCCAGCGTCGTCGCGTGCTCTCTCGCTTCGCGTTCTCTCGCGCTCATCTGCCACTTGAGCTTCTTGACGTACGCGCACTGTACCAGTCCACCCACAGACAGCAGCATCTCCTTGAACAGGTTAACCGTGACGCCCTCCATGATATCGCCGCCCATATCGTTAAAAGCGCGGCAAAACACTTCAACTTGTCGCTCCGAGTGCGTGCGCAAGATAAAACACGACGAGATCCGAGCGCGGATGACGCCAAACTCGGTCAGTTCTGGAACCCGGTCCAACGCGTAGCTGTGCACGAGCATGTACGCGACCCGTTCGCCGTTCGAGTCGCGGGAAATGCCCGTCGACTCGACGTACACCATGTCGCGTTGGGTAATGAATGTACCCAGCACTTTAGTGGCCCATTTAACGCCTAAAAAACGGAACGGGTCGTCGTCTGACGGCGTCTCTAGCGTCGCTAGGATCTTCTGGTCGTCGTATTCATCGCCGATATAGGCGTCACGCAGCCGCCACCGCGCTTCGTTGTCCGCCAGCGCCCCAAAGGCCGCGTCCTCTACTGTTCCCTCCATCTTGCCGGTGATAACCATCAACGGCACGCGGTCGGGTCGCGCACGTTCCAGTAGCGACCCGTCCGTTAAGTAATCGGCATCGTGACGATGACTATGACCTCGCGAACTCTGCGTTTGAGACGCCTCGGAGGAGGTATAGCTGCCGCCACTGCTCACGTCTAAGAGTTGCGGAGGTTCTAACGACGCCGAGCTCTTGCGTCGTCGAGAGCGGTACACGTGCAGTTGTTCTTGGGTTTTAACGTACTTCCAGCGCTCGGGGTTGAGCTTGCGATGATGTGCGATGAATTTCTCGCTGGCCAGCAACGTTTCGGCTACCAGTTCTTCAGTGTAGTTGACGATGGCTTGTTTCTCTGAACTTGAGAGCTCTAGCGGTGGGAAAACGTTGGCCGGCAGCTTGGACTTCCCCATCGGTTATCAGGTTCTTAGCAGTCTCAGCCAAGACGAAAGCTGCCAAGTGAGACTTGAGGCGAGTACAAGTCTCCAGCAAAGGAGGGGCGGGAGGGAGGGGAGCGGCGAGACTGGAGTTGCATCTGCTCGGTCATGGGCCACGGTGAGTTGCCGTGGACAAGACGGCAGGCGACACCACGACGTGTATAATTCGCTGACAGAGGGCACATGACGGTCGCCGTTGTCGCGTTTCGAAGCGCTTCGACGTACGAAATGCAATGGACTAATACTAGATAATAGTCCTTGTCGACGTATTAGAATACTGGGGAAAACGCTACATGTACAGGTACAAGCTCTTGAGACGAGAGAATTAACAGTACTGTAACACGTCTTCTTCGACGGGTGTGGTCTCTGTAGGGACGGACCGAGGTGATGATGCCGAGGTCGCTATTATCAGCGCGAAAGCACTGCCTGCAAATCTTCAAGACGTTCATTGTGGAGTCGAGTACTTCAAGAAGTGGTGTACAGGCAATCCCCTCGGTAGTAATCCCTAGAAATGGAATACTCCCTCAATAGCAATAAAAATTAGCTTGACCAGTCAAATACAAACTCAAGATATTATTCCCTCTCACTCCTCAATCGTAAAATGGATTTTTTTTTAATTATTTCTATTCTGGGGTGCTTTACTATGGAAAAGTCATACTGTTGCTGCCACGATCCGAATGTTGAACCGATGATGCCTATTTTGACTACTTTGGACGTGATTCGAGCTTTAGGATCACGGAGAAGTGCTCAACCTTCACTCTAATTGCACACCTGTGACGGCAACACCCTCCTCACTCCACGAAACCCAACTGGCAAGTACCTGGTCGGGGGTAGACTGGCGCACGCCTCGTGCCGCGATATTGTGGCCAACTGCTGAGACCGGAAGTGAGTCCGGTGCTATTCAGCATATCAATAGATTCCAAGACCGTAGATTCTGGGAGCCCATGAATTTAGCTCTGGGACAAACTAGGTATGTGAGCATGGTGCTAACATATTTGAACAGCGGTCGTCGGTAGGTGAGTGTGAGGTAGACTGGTTGGGCTAGAGAGGAGGGTATCTTTGTGTGGTGAGGCAAAACTGGCAGTAGGAGAGCAAAACAGGGTGAATGGCCAGTAACGAGCTACATCAGTTGTCTCCATTAGTATTTTTTGTGCACTGTTCCAACCTGAAGGTACTCGGATCCATTTTTATGGTACATTCGTGGATAGGAATATCCTTAGACAGGAATAAACTGGCGGCTCCCAACGCTATAACTACCGAATGTCGCGGTCTTCCTCCTTAGTGTCGGGGTCGTGTATCTAGCAGGCCGACGTAGGAACGAGAACTAGCGCAATAACTCCAAATGTAACTTGATATATATTCAGAATGCTTCTTGTTTAAGAAGGAAAAACACGACTGAGCCACTACCTTACGACCTAGGAGCTCATTACCTGTCCGCAAATCGTTCGCACGCAGCCGTCCACAGCGAGGTACTTCCTCATTCCCTTCCTTCCAGTCCCACTCTAGTCGTGGAACGCCGATGTCTGCTCTTCTTGTCCTTGCGCGTTGGATGTAGCTCGATGACCCTGCATTGAGCAGACCTTCTGGATGCAGCCCGCGAGAATGGCGAGACCTCCCTCTAGCTGTAGACCGTGACACGAAGGGATTGTCTGTACTGTACGTCTATTACATTAGGACTTGACCTATGATTACGATAAGCTGGTGGCCGCCTACTACCTTGACTGAATCGTTTCCGTCAGCGCATTCTCATTCTGCCGATTCGATACATCGGCTTTCTCGGGGATCACTTTTCTCGACCATGCATAGCGACGAATTGCATCTACCCCGTTCGTCGCGGTTTCGTCAATGAAATCGAGCTGTTCCGGATAACTGTACCACTTACTAACCTCACTCACAATGCACTCGATCACCTTAGGTACTGCCTCGCAAGACCTCTTCGGAGGCTCACCCGGAGCAATTTGCCATTCCTTTGAACTGCTTACACCACCTCGATACCGTACGCCCTAACACTCCAAAACAAAGCTTCCAACTTGTTCAAAATGTATGCTGTACACATAATGAAGGACGATCGTTTTCCAACGAAACTCAGTTGTGTCTTCTTGCGCCTCTCGCGGTGTCTTCGACGATAGGTTGAGTGTGAGCTGATATACACGTTAGGCACTAAACGTCAGAAGGTGTGTACAAATAGCAGGTCACCGTTCAATTTATACCCTGTTTTACAATATATACATCGATGTTTTGATCCATTCTCAATCGATTTGTCTCTATCTGCATGATATCAAATCGTCTGACAATCGCAGCGGTTTTTGCAATACCCGCACTAAATACAAAATGGTGACGGCGCCCCTCTCCCAGTGATAGAGTATCACAGATAGCAAGACGTAATGGAGCCACTGAGGGCGGGTCTTAACCAGTGCCATGCCATGCCATGCCATTTTAGCTGGCTGTCGTGGCACCGTGGCACTGTTTCGTTAAAAATGAATTTTGCGAAATTGGTGCCATAAAGTAAAATTTGGCTCAAAAGAAATATTACGCGATGAGCGGGAAGCGAAATACAAGCCCGCGCGGCACACTCGGAGCCCGCAAATTCGCGAGGGTTACACCTCTAGCTACAGCAAGCTCTTCGGCAGAAGCATCGTGGACTGCTGGTGAAGCCACCTCTTCGTCTTTATATCCTGTTGTAGACGCCGCGTCTTTGGTGCAGTCGCCGTTTGTGGTGTCGGCAACTTCGGTCCATCTAGATCATGGAGCCACAAGCAACAGGTGCGACGCAGATCTTTTCGAAGCCATCAACGCAGTGATTGGATCCGAGTCCGAGAGTGATGCTGCTGTTGATTTTCGTGAAAATGTGGCCGTTGCTGGCACCGAGGAAGCCGTGGTTGATACCAGAGTTGAGCACGTGGTTAGTTGGACTGTTCGTAAACCTGGAAAGGTGATACCGCCAACATGCAACGACTACGACCAGTGGACAGTCGTTCAGCTTCGAAAAGAGTGTACTGAAAGGAAGTTTCTGCTTGGAAGAAAAGTGAGTAGACCTGAGCAGATCAGACGGCTCAGAG